ATTACAGCAATGGATTACATATTGCAACCAACAAAACCTTCATATAATTGCAATTTCTGAAACAAAACTAAAAGACTTCTCCCAGGCTTCACTCACAAATCCCATATACAAATTTTTTACATCAAATTACTACCCTACTTCTCAACAACAAAGAGAAGCGAGTATGGGAACTGCACTTCTGATACATAATACTGTACAACCTTACATTCATAATATAATGGCTTTTCAGGGAACAATTCTCGCTATAGACTTCTATTTCCCTAACAACAAAACACGTATAATTTCAGTTTACCTCCCTACTAATAATCCTGACCTTTTAATCTGAACTCAGAACCAAATTACTCTATGGGCCACAGAAGGAAAAATTAGAAATTGGTATACGATAATACTTGGAGACTTTAATTCGAACAACACCTCAGCTAAAAAGAAAAACACCATCTTCTCAGAACTCACTTCTAACAATTACACTAGCCTTCTCAACTTTCACAACATCCTAACACCTACTTGGTACTGAAATAACTCATATTCCCAGATAGATAATATATGGGTATCTTCTGATATACTTCTAAATATAGATCCTCCAGATCTAATTAATACAATAGGAATTAAAGATAGTGATCATACTATCCTACGTACAATATGGCATACAAATTTCTCTCCTTCAGTTCTAAGAAACAAGAAGAAAAAATAGAAAATCTATCTATACGACAGAATGACTGAAGAGAACTGGGATAATTTTGCAAATGACATCAACAAATCCTTAACAAACAGCATATCAAGTAGACAAATCACAGACTCAACCTCTTTAAACAAAAGCTGGCATAATTGGTTTTCAAGAGTTAAACACTCTGCTAACAAAAATATTCCTATAACCTATACAGCTCCTAAACCTTTTCATGCACTTTCTCTGAAAGCTTCTAAACTCCATCAAGCATTAAACCATATCAACAAATGCATCCACATTTTAGTTTCTACCTATCCTCCATTCTCTATTGAACATATTATTACACTAGCAAACAAACATCTTGCTAAGACAAACCGACTAACTGAATCTTCACAAAATCTCTTACTCCCTTTAGACCTGAGTACTACAACAATAGAAAATAGTCAAACTTCACACTATATCAATACGATTAAGAAGATTAAGAAATTAAAGTCGACAATATGGAAAAGTAGAAATACAGAAAGGAACCTAGAACAGACAGAATGAATCAAATATTTTGTAAATCGCAGATATACTGACTTCAAAGATAATACCAGTCGAATGATTAATAGTATTTTAAAGAAACAGCAAGACCAAATAAGCTTTGAAAAAATAATTTGCTCTGATGAAATTATTACTAAACCTCAACAAATCAAAGAAGCAGCCTCAACTCATTTTCAAAATTGGACAAAACAAAATCCACCTAACAACTCCTTATAGGCAGAATGGGAAAAATACTACATTCCACTTAAAAATACTAGACTGGATATCTATCAACCTCTGATTAAATCTATTACACTACAAGAAATTACAAATATAATAAACGAAGCACCAAAACAAAAGGCTACCAGTCCCCTAGGAGTCTCAAATGAAATGCTGCAACACCTACCTCCATCAGGCATTTCACATCTCTTACAGATATTCAATGCTTGCCTACAATTAGAACAGCTTCCAAAACAATGGCTAAATTCTAATATTTGGCTAATTCCAAAAAAGGCTCAATATACATACGAGCTTAATACTACTCGTCCAATTACTCTAATAGACCATACTAGGAAAATATTCACTAAAATAATTACTAATAGATTATCCAATATCTTAGATAGACATAACATTCTCTCTCCCCACAACTTCACGGCATTTCCTCAACAATCAATTCTTCAACCTATATCACAACTTACTTCTATAATTGAACATGCTTCTACTTCTAAACAAGAAGTTTGGCTACTACTTCAAGACATGTCAAAGGCCTTCGATTCTGTTCACATACCCACATTAACTAAAGCACTACAAAGAATCCAGATTCCTAGTTCGATAGTTAATCTACTAACCTTTTTACTTTTTAATCGTACAAATCAAGTTATTACAGATTATGGCCTCTCCAAACCTTATCTAGTAGAAGATGGTATAGACCAGGGTGAAACCTTTTCTCCAATATTGTGGAAAATATACTACGACCCCTTAATCTCACGAATACATAAAGAACACATTGGATATCAAGGAACTACTCAAATACAACCTATACCTAAATATATTCAAACTTCTGTAATAGCTTATATGGATGACTCCTTATGGATCACGCCTAATAAGCCTGCTCTTACACAAATCCTCGCAACCGCAAACTCCTTCTACAACTTCGCAATGATTAAAGTTAATCTAACCAAATCCATTTTGGCCACTAACACTACTTCTGAAGACAGAACAATTACTTTCAATGGAGAACTACTAAAAGCAATTGACAAAACTCAACCATTTAAATACTTAGGAGCCTGGTTTTCAGTTATTGGAAAACCGATAACCACACAAAAAACTATTTTAACAGAAGCACTTTCAGTTGCTACAAAACTCCAAAAATCCTTTATAACTGAAAAACAAGCAATTTACATCATCAATAATGTTATAATACCTCGAATTTCCTATCGTTTAAATAGTTCCTTTCTTTCAAATACTCAACTTTCTTCACTCAACAGTGTTTATGCTAATATTGTAAAACAGAAAGCCAAACTTTCTCGTTCTCTCCCTAACTCTTTTCTTTATCATCCAGATATCTATGGTTTAAAGAACTTCATGCAAAATCAAAATGCACACTTAACTTCAACACTACTTCGAAATCTAAACCAATCTTACTTTGAATCTTCCTTCCTAAAAATTTGTCTACAACAATTACAAGATTCAACAGCATCTAATCTCTCTATACTTACACATTTTCCACTCCTTCCAAAAAATGAGTTCTATACTCATACAGGTCAATCAATAATAGCAATGTACTCTCTAAATATACAGTTCGCAAGAAATGAAGACATAACTTGGCCCAAACTATATGAAATAAAAGGCACCTCAATTAACAAACTCTTACATAATCACCCTAAAGCGCATATTTACAAACAACAACTCAACCAACATCAAATATACTATATTGAACAATTCTTCAACCACACGAATAACGAACTTTTAAACTGGACTAGTATATACCACAACTTTCTTAAAATTCCATGAGGACGCATACCGAAATAGTTCATAGAGATACAACAACTTATTAGATCCTCAGAGAATATTATAGCTACTCTCATATATCCGAATCCTTTCACGCTAACAAAATGGATTCCTAAAAAAAAATCATGGGTCCTTACTTGGAATAATTATATAGGCAAAACCAACAACTTTAATAAGAGGAAAGCATCGATACACTATTATATATTATCATCTGATAATACATTATCACCTTGTCCTGAGTGCAAAATTAAAGATCCCAAACTAAAGACAAAAGGCTGTTATTTCCAATTCGATATCAACAAGCTATACTCATTACAAGTTGACTCTAAAAAGATTCTACATGCTGATATTGATAATTTAATGCTTGCACAGACAACAACAGAGAATAGAGTAATACGCAATATTCCTCAAACAACTATACAACTACCACGACCGCTAAATGCATTCTCATCTTTCCCATTACATATATGGAATGAACTCTCAAAAAATAATGATAAAAATCAGGATATACATATATTTATATCCTCACATCCTCGTTCACCATACAACAATGACCAACCTTTAGCAACCTGCTTGCTATCTAATTCCTCGACAACCTGAGGAATCTTCAACAGTTCTTGGCCAGACACTACTCAAGCCTGTCTCACTCTATTCGCTTTTATAATTACAGCATTCCTACCTAATACCAACTTAGTAATTTCTTCAAATAATGCACTCTTTTTAAAATTAATTGAAAATACTTCAAAAACTCCAACATACCGTCTACATTCACTAGACAAAACACATTACACTTTTATTCTTCTCATAATCAAAGCAATTACTACTTCACTTAACCTAACCTCTTTCAATTTAGATAAAGACCTAAAATACAACTTCAAACCTGATCATCTCTTTGAACTCAACATTATCCCTCAACAATTTTTATACAACAGATTCATTCCTTGTTTACTTCAAATTCCTTGCATATACCATCTCCGCTCAATTATTAAAGACAACCTCAAGATAATTAATAGTCTCACTTGGGCTAATCAAAATAGAATTTGTGAATAGTCCTATGGCAGAGGAGATACTCATTGGCCAGCTATCTTAGCTTATATTTCATTTGAAGAACGTCCTTTATCATTAAACACTAATCCAAACTTCTCCAAATTAAAAAACTTTAAAGTCAAACTACTAGCAAATGAGCTACCCACTTACTCAACTTTACACGCTAGAAATCCAACAAAATATAGCAACTATCTTTGCCCACGCTGCCTATCTTCACCTGAAAATAGTGCACATCTGATCTCATATTTAAGAAATAATACTACAATAGATAGCATAATAAGAGATACAATTTCAGCAATTTCAGAAGAACTTCAAATTCCCTCTAATCATACCAACGAGTTCATTTCGACCTTCAAACGGACCTATATACAACAAGAATTTCCACTTGGCTTTATAATAACAGAAACACTAGCTCCATTTGAAAGATATGAAGATAAAACAAAATACGCACCCCTATTACACCACCTTATTATAAAACTTATATATCATGAAATCTGGTTACCCTCAAGACAAATAACACATTCTTCATATTTTCCTAATCCAAATCCACTTCCGTTAACAATACGTACGCAAACTACCACTATATCTCAGAACTTTATTTTAAACAAAATAGCTCAATATATAAAGGATGGACGTTCTTCTATTCCTTTAATATATGAAGACTAGAGGCCTACGACCTTTCTAGCACAGCTTAGGTCGAGAGTAAATTAGCTCTTACCCTTACCTCCCTTTTTCAATTAACTGTATATGTACTTTTAATGTTATATATTCTTTTATTGATATTAATAAAGAGTTAGAGGATAGACCTCGTTGTCAAAAAAAAAAAAAAAAAAAGAAAAAAAAAAAAAAACTAAATAGTATAACTCTAACAAACTATTTAAAAGGTAATGAAATATTCAGAAATTGCCTACTCACCTAGTAAAAGTAAGTAATAGAAAGCTCTACCTTTGAATACTTCTATTTTTTACATTAATAGAGAATATAAAGCTACATTAAAAACTAAAATTCCTACTCAACTCCTTGATGAGTTAGCTAACTAAGCAAAGAAAAATACCTATAAAGCTAATAATAACAAGACAAATATTAAATGCTAAAACTACTACTTCTACTAATATCTAATAGCCTATTACAATCATACTGTACAAAACTATAAAATAAGCCTCTTTGACAAAGAAAAAGATATTAAATTTTTAACTAAGCAACTAATTGATATATACTTTTTAGTACGTATAATCACATATTATAATATTATACTCAACAATACACTAACATATAAAACAATAACTAAATTCTATAAAACAATAGCTGTACCAGAAGCTAAAAAGTTCTTAAAAGAAAAATTCAATATTAACTTCAAACTAGTAGATATAGTAGACTTACTATTTCTAGAAATTAAACAAACTCTTCCTTTTCAGTAAGCTTGTCTTCTACAAATCTATTAATTTCTCCTAATCTTGTAGAAGATATTTGTATAGTAGCCTTATTACCAATACAACTGAAACAACAAGAACTACTACTATGCTATAATAAATTTTTAATATACTACAACTTTCCTCTCCTACACAACAACCAAACTATTAAATCTTTCCTTCACTACCTAAAATCTTACAAGTTCAACTATAAAACAATATTCTCCTTTAACTCCAAACTTGGTGAAGCATATATATATACTCCTGATAATATATATCTACTTAACAACTACTTGTTTATAGAGTCATATCAACTTCTAAAATACTATTAAAATCACAAACTCACTCAACTACTAATTCTAATCTTAACCTTAATATAGTAACTCATAATGTTCAAGGTTTTAATATTTAACTAAAGACAACTTTAGGAAAAATACTATATAAAAGAAAACTTCAATATTGCTAGCATTACTCAAACTAAACTGAAAACTTCACAATCCCAAAAATTTTTAAATACTAAAAACTTCTTCTACTTTTAGGCAAGCCTTGAAAACTCTGCTAAAAGAACTGTATTCATGATTAATAACAATCTGAAGCTATATATTTATAATATACTAATACATCATGAAAGGGCTGTTGCTGTTGACCTCTTTTTCAAACATGACTTCAAATTTAGAATTATTTTAGTTTATTTATCTACTTCAAACAAATCTTATAAGGACTCAGCTTAAGAAAAAGCTACAATATAGATTTAGTAAGCTCTTAGCTTAAAACTCCTTCCTATTATTCTAGAAGATTTTAATATATTTACTAATTATATATCCAGTACCTCTTCTAAAACATGTTTACTTTTTTTTTTTATTTTTAAGGTGGCTTTACATTGCTGAGTGATTTTTATTAGTTTGATATATGAGATTATATATAGGCAATCTCTACAGTTTGTAATTACATGAAGTGTATATAACAAGCCACACATACAACTTTAGTTATTGTCTAATTTAAGTAGTCTACTGCACAGATGATAAACTATCTGATTAGTTCTACACTATGTTACTATACCTGTAACCTGCCTGTAAGCTACCTATTTAAATACTCTATTCAACCAACCTATATCATTACAAACTAACATCACTATAACATCTAACCGTTTAAGCTAGCTAGCTTATTACAGATCTATTTTTTGATACTAGCTTAGATCCTCTTAGAATGCTTAATACTCACATATTGTAAGCCCACAGAGCTCTAGTTAACCTCAAAGCAAACCTACTAGAGCAGCTCATCCTATTCCATAGACTCATCTAGCTTAGACCATTGTAGATGTTTGTATAACCCTAGTTCCTACTATGGCTCTCTACTAGTTTTTTTGTATTTATCTTCTCAGATATTTTACAAGAAAGATCCTCTCAATCTAGTTAGCTGCCAAACCAAGTTGGTGTTACTAGTCCTCTTCATAGAACAGATCTATATATACCTAACTCAATCTGTATTTTTTGATGATAGTTTCTTTTATTGATCAAGCATTAGCTAGTATAACTGTCGAAAGCCATACTACTTCACTGACTTGGGATTTCTACTATGCAGGTCTCCTGACTGTAGATCCTATCAAGATTTATTCATATAATATTATACACTTTGTCATACTTCCAATATCTGATTAATATTGGTACAACTGATTTACAGAGTTACAACTTCAGAAACGAACAGAGTTTACTGTAAGTTGAGTACAAAGGTCTGAGTAATTATTCAAATTTGTTGACAGTAGGATTTGAACTCCAAACCTCTTGTATAGCAGTCTGGAAATCTAACCATTATACTAAGATCATCAGACCTCCAAAACATGTTTACTATTCTACTTATATAGTATTAATATATATGATTTTGCTAACCATACAGCTAATTAACAAAATACTTGGCAAAGTAGCAGATATTGTAGCAAAATTGATTATATCTGGGTATACTATCCAACTATACAATTTTTAACTAAATTTTTTTATAAAGATTCTTTAACTATAACCAATAGTAATCACAAAATTCTAGTCTCTAAATAGTCTTTCCTTTTACTCTTTCTGAAAAAACTAGAAACAAAACTAATACTAAACAAAAAATTTTTAACTACAAAGAAATGACTATGAATTATGGCAAGAATTTGCTAATCAAACAAATTCTAACTTACTAATCAATAATACTTTATTTCTAATACAAACAACAGAATTTTTAGAAACTACTTAGCATAAAATTTAGATTAGTATAATTCAAGCAGCCCTTTCCAAGATCTTTAACAAAAAGTTTATAACTAAAAACTTTTATTATATCTTTTCTTCTAAGGCAACAAAGCTATATCTGGACTTTAAAATTCTAGGAGAAGCAATTAGGAAGGCTAAAAAATACCTAAACAACCACAATATTCTATATCCTGATCTCTCTACTACAATTAATGATATTAATTCTTGATATTTCTTTAATATTTCTCTACTTTTACTTGATATTAATCTAATACCAAACTGGATTTCATTTTCTAAAAACTGCTAGAAATCTCTTTATAATGCTTGAAATCTAGAGAATACTCATCAAATAAGAGAGTACATTAACTAAGCTGCAAATAGAAGATATGATTTTCTTTAAACCAAATCTACTAAAATGATTAATAGTATCTTAGATAGATATAATAAACCAATATACTTTAATAATATTAAAACACAGAATAAAATTACAACTGAACCTTCTGCAATTAAGTTAGCTATTCAATAATACTTTTATAAATAGACTGCTTATTGAAGTCTTAATCAAACAATCTTTAATTCTAACTAGCATAAAGAATATAAACTCTCTCTAGATATTAAATTTGAATGATATAACTCTATATTATCAGAAATGACTACTGTAGAAATTACAGAAATATTAAGTAACTTGTCTAATAACAAGACTTGTAGACCCTTTAGAATTAGTTATAAAATGATTAGACATTCAGATCTGAACACAATTCAAGCTATTACAGCACTACTCAACTGTTATCTAATAATACAAACAATTTCTAAATAATAGAAAGATAGTCACTTTTTTCTATTCTAAAAAAATCTACTTTTGATAGTGATCTTAATAATATATATCTAAATAGTCTTATTGAATATATTAAAAACTTTATACAAAAATTCTAACTACTCAACTTAGCTTAATCTTTACTTATTACAAAATTCCTAACCTACATAAT